TTCATTTGATAAACAAGGGAGGCATATCATGTAACTGTTGACGTGGCAGTATAGGAATAGTTGGGAAGTTTTCCAGAGATGAAAAAGATCACAATTGGCATTTTTAAGACGTTAGCCATGGCTAGAACCATAAGATTTTCCAGCTCTCCAGTAAAATAACCACGATGGGAAAACCGCTCAACTTCGTTTTCAAAATTGTCAGTGGTTAGGAAACAATGTTAATTATGGAATTGAAACTACGAAAATATAAATCTTTTCTGAAGAACATATCAAGAATTCAAAATGCTGTACATTCAGCATGAACGTTTTCTGAGATGATCAGTCAAAGATCACAAGGCTGGATGAGAACCGATGGCTGGTCAAACTATCATCTGCTTGTACCCTCTGCGGCGTGCCGCAGGATAGCATATTGGGTTCTTTGCTATTCTTAATTTACATTAATGATCTTCCCAACTCCTTGCGGGGCGCCGTACCAAGAATGTCTGCCGATGACACCAATCTTGCGTTATCTGCTAAGACGTTAACAGTGCTTAAGCTAGCTCTAACCCCTCAATTAAATAGCCGTATCTGTTGGCTGAGAGCTAAGAAGTTCAGTCTAAGTGTTTCTAGAACAGAGCTAATGATTATTGGATCAAGACTAAGACTATCTGCCCAATGTGACAATGTAGAAATCAGAACTGGTGACCAAATTATCAAGAGAGTCGATACGACCAAATCCTTGGGTCTTATTTACCAAAGATGCCCAACTGTATTTGCGTAAACACGTTGAAGAGATTTGCAAGAAAGTCTCTTCAGCTATAGGCGTCCTAAAACGTGTGCGGTCCTTTATATCCAAGAAACTGCAATTCAAATTTATAACGCTCTAATTATGTCTCATTTTGATTACTGCAGCCTCATCTGGGACTATTTGAGTGGCTACTTGAGTGATGAGCTCCAAAAATTACGGAATCTTGCAGCCAGTTGTTACAAAATCTCCCTTTCATACGAGCTCAAACCAACTTCTCTTCACCCTCGACTTGGAGAGGCTATCTCTTCGACGAAAGAAACAAAATGCCTTAATGATGAAAAAACCGTGAATGACCTTACTCCCGAATATGTACAAATTATTTTCTCTCGGCGTCACTCTGCTTACAACTTAAGAAACTTTGACGGAAGGCTGACCCTCTCCAAACCAAGCACCAATTATTTGAAACGAAGCTTCTCTTACAGCGGGGCCATGTTGTGGAATAACTTGCCCAAAAGCAAAAAATGTTTCA